AGTTCTCTGTGCGCACAAAGAGAGGCAGAAAACTGTGCCTAGAAAAGCCCAAGAAGCTACTGGTTACTCCAGGTACCTATTGGCAAGCCCCTCTCCCATCCCACAGTGGCTGCTTGCACCAGGAGAGAGAAATTTGTCCTCTGAGCAGGATTCTAGCAGATCCCAAGTTCTTCTTCCTTATTCTTAGTTCTGGCTTGGGGTCTTCTGCACAGGCACTTGTAACCTCACCTCTCCCTGGCTTCTGGGTCTTGCTGCAGTTTGTGAAGGGGAGATTGGATCTTGGGGCTGAGCAGCATAACTTTGCCACAGGTCTTTATCGCTCTACTCACTTCACTGGCCCTGTGGCTCCTGTTGTGTGCAGGGCGGGGGGGCAGCCCACCCTGCCCCACTCTTTTCTGCCCCTCTTCAGACCCAGGCCCTACTGGGCTCTCTCTTGCTCTCCAGGCAGGATCATGCTGACTGCTTTCCACCACCGCTCTGCCCACTGAGCCCATCCCTGTCCCTACGTGCCACTTTCCTCTTCCCTCTCCATGCTCCATAGCTGGCTCCCGGCTGAGCAGCAGTGAAAGCTGGCATGGCCGGACATGACCTTAACCTGGGCTTTATTTAGCGCCTTGATTTATAGAGGAGTTATTTTAAAAGTGTTTTTCTCTGCTGGGAGGTGTGGTGAACATGTGGTGAGTGGTGGCAGTGAGCTGGAGTTCATAAGTCCCCCTGTGCTGCTGACAAAGAAGCATTTGAGTCCCAAGGCGCCTTCTGCTTGGGGAGATGCTCTCTGGCTTGCTTGGAAAGCACTCCTGTTACTGCTTGTGCTGAGTGCCTGAGAAGGAAACAAGGGTCTCTCCCATGAGGGAATGTGGCAATCCTGTTGGAGGCAAGGAAGCCTGGAATTTTCAGTCCTTACAGGAGGGTGCTTTCTCCAAGGAGGATCCTGTGCTGGGCTCTGTCAGCTCTTGGGGGTCACTGTGGCTGTAAGGGGAAGAGTGCCAAGGCAGGAGTACCCTCTCCTTGGATCCTTGCTGGTTTTAGCTTGTCCTCCTCCTCTCTAGGTACTCGCCTCATCCTGGGTCACAGAGGCTTCTCCTCATGCCTGTTGGGGGTTGAATAATCTGCTTGAAGTAAAGGTTTGTAAGTAGGATTGTCTGTAGACTCCAGATGTATCAGCCTCTGGAATCATGGAATACAGCCTGGTTTGGGTTGGAAGGGAGCTTAAAGCCCATTCACTTCCAATCCCCTGCCGCAGACAGGGACAGCTTCCACTAGACCAGATTGCTCCAAGCCCCATCCAACCTGGCGTTGAACACTGCCAGGGATGGGGCAGCCACAGCTTCTCTGGGCAACCAGTGCCAGGGCCTCAGCACCCGCACAGGGAAGAACTTCTGCCTAAGAGCTCATCTCAATTTCCCCTCTGTCAGGTTAAAGCCATTCCCCCTTGTCCTGTCCCTACAGGCCCTTGTCCAAAGCCCCTCTCCAGGTTTCTTGCAGCCCCTTTAGGCACTGGAGCTGCTCTAAGGTCTTCCCTTAAGGAGCCTTCTCTTCTCCAGGCTGAACCAGCCCAGCTCTCTCAGCCTGGCTCCAGAGCAGAGCTGCCCCAGCCCTCACAGCATCTCTGTGGCCTGTGCTGCTGCAAGATGGTTCATGTGAGTTCCTTGAGCCTCCAAACCACGTGTGTGGTAGTAGGCAATGCGTGCAGATGAGATGTTGTGAGCCTAGCCATCTGCATTCCGGCATTGAACAGCAGGACCCTGGGGCCTCTTGCAGCCCTTGTGGCCCTTTCCTCAGGCCACTCTGCAGTCTGAAAAGTTAATTAGTACAAATACGCAGCCCCATCCCTGGGTCTGAGTTGGTTTCATGAGTCCATGATGGGAGGCGGATCTGCTCCTGGTGTTTCCTCCTGGTTCATTTGCAGCACATGGAGGCTGCATTCTATAGCTGCCCAAGAATGCTGGTGGTACAGTCACATCAGTGTGATGGGACTGGGAATTTGCTCCCTGTTTGGGGCTTTTTTTTTTTTTTTTTTTAATTAGCAGAGAATGGTGGAAAAAAAAATATCTCTGCTTTCTACCAAATGGTAGGGGTTAAAACCTCTCTGTCCCATTAAAGCCTGCACAGCTATTGTAGCTTCGTGGTATGATCTCGGCAGAGAGAGATAAAGCCTCTTCAGCAGTGTGCACTGTTAGCGCTGAACTCAGCAATGGCTGCAGGCTATGGTTATCCTGCATTTTACTAAAGGAAGGACAATCTAGGACTTGGTTTATTTTAACCATATAAAGGCTTTTTGATTTGGTGCCAGTGTTAATAATTGTCCTGTAAAGGCTTTGCTAAGGCAGCAGGAACGGTGTGAGAGCCTTTGAGCAATGCACTGACTCATGTTTAAATATTTTTACTTCTTTGTTTTATTTGCAATAATAAACTTTTTTTTTTTTGGGGGGGGGGGGGGGCGGGTGGGTGGGGGAGGGGTGTAATAGCTGAAAGCATTTTGCTCAGCAGGGTGCAGGGGCGACGATGGCACAGAACCAACCAAAGCTTGTTTTGACTGATACCTGTGGAATGCGAAGGGTTAGAGCAGGTTGTTGTCAGATGCTACCAGCAGTAACAGTGCTGTGGTAATGCTGGGCGCACTGTGGTGGCTGGTGCTGGGTGGGAGAGCACCTGGGGGAAGGCCAGTTTTGCCTGCAAGGCCACAGGCACTTGCTGGGACAGGTTGGTTCAGGAGAGGTCACTGAAGCTGCGTTTGCCTTTAGCTGGGTGTGCACATCTTCTCTGTCATTCCACAAGGAACCATGTGTAATGTTCAGTATGTGGTGTCAAGATTTAGCAATATTAGGTAATGTCTAATTGTGAGAGGCATTGTGTTAGGCTGGGTACCCCTTTCCGTAGCCTACAACTCCCTCCATGCCTTTTTTTAGCAGGTGCAGGATGCCATGTAAAAGGAACATTTCTTACTCGGGTTGTCTTCGTGGGTCTGTACAACTCATCCTACAGTTCTGTCCTCTGCTTTCTCTTGCAGAACTGTGCTGATTTATCCCCTTGTACCCTGTGTAGAGAGGTCTTGACCAGAACTGTGCAGAAGCTGCAGGCTCCTGCACAGAGCAGGCTGTCAGCTCTTGGCAGTTTTCTCTTGACCTCCATGATATCTAATGGAGGATTTTCTCTGAAGACCTGTTCCTGTAGAGAAGGAACTTCCCAGCTTTTCGTTTCAAGTAATGGAATAAAAGTTGAGGGTTTAAATTGTTTTCTGGAAAGCTTGTTTACAACAGCCTTCTCCTTCCACTTGGGATTTGGGTTAAATGCTCAACCCTAGCATTCAATGCTTGGAAGTGTACACACAGGGCATTGCCTGAGTGTCCTCACCTCTCCTGTGCAATTACAGAATCTCAGAATCTCCTGGTTTGGGTTGGAAGGGACCTCAAAGCTCATCCAGTTCCAACCCCTGCCACAGGCAGGGACACCTTCCACTAGACCAGGTTGCTTCAAGCCCAGTCCAACCTGGCCTTGAACACTGCCAGGGATAGGGCAGCCACAGCTTCTCTGGGCAACCTGTGCCAGCACCTCACCACTCTCACAGGCTCTCCTGCAAGAAGGCTTTACAACAGTACAGGGAGTTCATGTTGTGCTTGAAGCACCCAAGCCTCTAAAGAAGGAATTTAAAGATCATTATTCTGTGAGAGGTGGGAAGGCTTGTGTGAAGAGCATCTGGCTGCAGGTCGGTTCAAGCTTGCTGTGAGACTGCTGTGTCTTCTCAAACCAATGAGGGTATCTGGAGTGATGGTCATGTGCTCCCTTGGAGTGCAAGAAGCGAAATGGTTTGCTTTCTCCCTATCCCTGCATCCCGCGGGTTCCCCAGTGGCTGTGTAAGCTGCTCTGGCGCTGCTTTAACTTTCTACCCTGATCTTGCTGTGTGACTGAGGTGTGTTTTCAGGCACGTCCATCCAGCTGTTCCTCTTCTGCAGAGCTTCTGGGCCAGCAACTGAAATTCTTTCTTGTCTCTGGTAGAGGGAGGTGGATTTGGATCAGATGAGGATCTGGCCAGACACCTGAGTAAACTTTCATTTGGTTTTGTAGCAAAACTCACTCCCACTGGCTCTGAGTTAACCAGAGAGGTCCCCTCCAAAACAGAGAGGAAAGGCAGGATCCTGAGCCTCTCTCCAGATGTGTACAGATTTATTTTGTTTACTATTACTTCTTGGCAAGCTCTCTTTATCTACATTCATGCAATAGATCACAATTTGGCCTCTAGCACTGTAATTGCTCCTGACACTGTGGGCAAGCTCTGGCTGGCAGGCTTTCCTGAATGAAGGTGAAAGTAGGGAAGCCGTCTCTGATTCTCGGGCAGGAAACAGGCATCTTATGTATGGATGCACATGCTCAGGCACCAAAGGCAGCCGTATTCACATGCTCCTCTTGTGAGGCATCTATCCCTGCAGAAAACTCCTGGCTCCCAGAGCGGGCCTTTCATGAGAGGCAAACAGCTTTTAATAACAAGGAATTGGATTGCAGAGTGCCTTCCCCCAGTACCAAACAGCTTATCCTGTGCAGGACTCCAGAGCACAGCAGGCTGAGGAACTTCAGCCCAACTCCCCTTAGCCCACTGAGGAGCGTAGCACTGGGCTTTAATGTGCCCAAGGCCCACGTATAGGAACTGCAGTGCCGCAGGTCTGTCCATCCACCCCATGAAACCGTGTCTCGCTTGCACGCACTCACGTGCTGCAGGAATGGTTTAACAGCCGCCCCACCCAGCACAGGCAGGAGAAGGACTTGCTGCGTAAGCAAAAGCTGGGAAACCTCGCTGCTGTGCGCAGCGAGCGCTGTGCTCGCCTCGCAGGAGAGCTGTGCTGTGTTTACCTGGGGTCGCCAGATGCCGAAAGGAGCGAGCAAGGACAGTGGTTTGCTCCTGCTGATCTTCTCTCCTCCTGCCCTTGGAGGTGGCTGTGCTGCTGGGTGTAGGTCTCGCCAGGGTACCCATGCTGTGGTACCGCTAACATTTTCTCTCATGGCAGGACTCGGAGTCGCTGGACGGCTGCATTCAGAGTACGTTATCGGCACTGTACCCTCCGTTTGAGGCTACCGCAGCCACTGTTCTGTGCCAAGTTTTTGATGTGGTGGAGAAGACGTACTGTGGGGATGGACTACGCTACCTCATAGACTTCCTGATTCCAGCCAAGCACATCCTGCAGTGCATTCAGCAGGATGCCTGTGTGAGTACATCATGCTCTCTGAGGCCTGCAAAGGCTTTCTTGGAGAGTGAGCTTTCTGCTCTTGTATGTAAAGCGGCTAGCAAAAAGCACTCACATGTGTACAGCAGCCCAGGTGGGAGGGCAGGCAATTAGGAAACAGTTGAGAAACTGCAGTTGAAACTTAACCGTGCAGAGATCAGATATGGAGCAGCGCCCTTGCCTTCGGTAACTGGGAACTCCAAACAGAAGGCTTAAGGGATTCAGAAAAAGAGGTTTAGCGAAGCATTTGCTGGATATGGCTGACTCAGGTGGCTTCTAGCCCCAGAAATTGCCTGGCCCTGTGGATGAAGCTGTTGGGCTCCTGCTGCTGGCAGGATGTGTGGGGCAAAATGCTGCCAGTCAGTGTTTTTCCCAGAACTCCATCTCCGCTTTGATGGTTGCTGGAACAGTCACAATGCTCCATAGCCCCAAGGAGTCGCATTACATTTACTGCCAGAACGAGTCCAAGATTAACGTGTGTTACTGTTGGGAGTCTGAAATGTTAGAAACGATGAGTCAAATGCCTCCATCATAAACTTGGCTCAAAATCTGCATGAAAAAAAACCAACAACCGAAAACTCGGATTTGTTCTATCCTTTTTGTCTCTGAACCTCAGCAGTGTGTGTGGCCAGGCTTTTGATAGAAATCTTCATTGTGGAAGGCAAGAGACTTCTGAGAGGAGGAAAAATATAAAATAGAAACTGAAAAAGTCAATTACTCATTGACTCAAGGGGAAATGCTGGGGGAGGAAACACTCATCGCACAGGATAGCTCCATGTAACAAGCACTGGGAGCTGGTCACCCTGCAGGTGTGTGGTGCAGTGTTTGTCCTGCTGTTGTCACCCTCTGACCCTCAGGATGGGTGTCAGTGCTGGGGCTGTCCCCTGGGCACCGGTTTGAGGCTGATGGGGCCATGGGCCCACCACAGGCCATGGCTACCCTTGGGGACAGGGGTGTGGTGGTAGGGCAGGCCTTGTGCTGCCTGGCAGCCAGTGGGCGCACAGCAGAGCCTGCAGCAGCCAATGGGAGCATGGAGCTGCCTTTATATATATGGTGGCCTAGGGGCTGTTGGAGCAGGAGGTATTGGGCTTGAGGTGGGAGAGATGTGAGGGTGGTGAGCTCTGGGGTCCCTGAGGTGAGAAGAGGTGTGAGGGTGGTGAGCTCTGGGGTCCCTGAAGTGGGAGGGTGTGAGGGCTCCCTGGAGGAATTCAGTGTGCTGGTGGCCACCCCTCATGCTCTGGACTGGAGCATGGGCCCAGGGGATATAGAAGCAAGGGGTCTGGTGGTGGCTGAGGTGATGGTCTTTTGAAGAGGGAAACCAATATGGTGGGGCTGTCCTACACAAGCAGCACTGCTTGAGGAGGTGGGACAGGAGCTATCCTTGGAGCCACCCTCCTGTCTCAGGCCCAGGAATGGGGGAAACCTCAGGACCTGCCCAGTAGCCGCAAGATTTGGGGCTGGTGGGGGTGTTGGGGCAGCCACCTCCAGTAAGGGCTCAGCATTAAGTATGGGGGGTTTTGCTGAGTTGTGAAATTACCTGGAGAGTGGGCAACAAGAGGCAGAGTGCAGGCACAGGCCTCTCAAAGAGCACAGCTGGGTGCCTTGAACCTTCTATCCTTCCTTGTGACCCTTTCTGGCCTTAACTCATGATTTTGTACTTTCAGACTGGCAATACAGGGAGAGCAAAGGAAGCTCTAGGAACCTTGTACTGTCTTTAGTGGTGGGTCTAGGCAATTCCGTATTTTATTTAGAAGTCTGCTTGTTTGAATTTTTATTGCTGAAAGTTCTTTGATTTGTTGTGGACCCCTTGTCTTTCCTAAACCTCCACTATGCGCACCTTATTTTGTCTTTACTGTCTTAAATCAAAGGACTATTTCTTGTTAGTTGTTCTTTAAGAGTTTTGTCTGCTTTTTAGAGAGTCTAAACAAAAAGAGTGTTTCATCCTTAGTTTGTAGTTCAGCTGGTACACGAGAGATTTTCCTAAACACACTGAAGGGAAAAAGTAGCTCCTGTCTGAATGACTGCTGTAGGAAATCTTGAGAGCACTAGATGTTTTGTCAGCCTCTGCAGTGACAGAAATGTAAGTGGCTTCATGAAGTATTAGACAAGTTCACAGGCTTCAGCTGGGCATATTAAAATCAATAGCCTGCATGTGATCTGCAGAGGCTGGAGAGGGGTGTGCCAAGGACTCTATCTCTGCTTAGCACAGAGTAAGAAACCAGGTTTTGCCCTGGCCTTCAGATGACATCCTGAGCTAAGTCTGTTGGTCTGTTCCAGTCTAGCTAGCCCTGTAGCTCAAGGAGCTGCCATATTTGTGCCATCTTTGTCACTAGTGCCAGCTCTTTCCTCAGAGGCAGCTTTATTCCTGGCTGCAGCCACTGGGTGTAGACTGTGTTCCTGGCACGTCTCTGACGAGCCTGGTTTGGCTCAGGAGTGACTGGACATGAGAAGAGCAAATACTTGAGCCTCAAAGTGAAATGTTTAAACAACTGAAATAAGCCTCTTCACATAATCTTCCCTTTGAAGGTGCTTTATGGAGCAGGAGCAGCATGAGGGTGCTTCACTTCCAACATTCTGAAGCTCTTAAATGTTTAGGCTGTTGAAGGACTTGAACTCTTGTTTGGATGTTACTCTGGCTCTTGCTGCAGTTTAGACTGTGGCTTTGTGGCATTTTCTAGGAACTTCAGTGCATTTTGCAGTTTGGGTTTCGTGATCTTATTGCTGAGATTTCTTCTGCTTGTCAGTCAGTAGGCAGGCAGGTCATCTAGGTGGTGAGGTGGGGTTTTGGATTTCTTGATGTATGAATGGCCACCAAATAGTTTACTCTGCATCCAGGTTTTAACAGAAACTCCATGTCATGTGGGTGCAGATGAAATTAAGCTTTATGTTCATGCTATTCCTGATTGTGTATCTCACTTTTCAGTCATATAAGCTATTTATAATAATTTAACTCTGTGCTGCAAGAGGCAGTCTTGGTTTGCTGAATTTAACTGTGCTGTGTAAGAAAGGAACTAGCTGGTGGAGGCATCTGTGTCTTAGAGATCAGAAAGCTAAGAGTGTAAGACTGCATAGCTTAGCTCCCCATGCCTTTGAGGAAGCATAAGCAACTGTGAGTTATGTTATAGCGCTTTTAAGATCTTAAGTTAATAGAAAGAGAAAAGAAAGGGAGGTGGGTCTGCTCTGAGTTCAAGATTAGAATATAAAAGTATTGATATCATCCTTCAAACGAATGATAACTGAAGTAAGACTCAGTTTAGTAGTGGTACAATATGAAGGCACAACAGTAAGGCAGTTGCACCGAGTGAACAGAAATAAAACTGCCGTGAAAGAAATGGATATGGATTTGACTGTATCAGAGAAAAGTGAGGGCTGGAATCCTGGAACATGGAGGGAGTTACCATGTAATGCTGAATGTCTGGTAACAGGGACTTTTATTGAATCTGTTAAATCAGGACTAGTAACAAAATACAGAGAACAAACTGAGCAGGTAACATGTACTGAGCAAGGACTGAATTAACTGACCCATTAAAAACTGGATAATGTTTTTCATGTGTGAGGTAATGCAAGACTGGCCTTTTCCATAAATCATCTCTCTCCAGAGAGAAAAGTTTCATTGTCTCATCCCTTCCATAAAGGATTTATTACAGAGTCGTATGGAAAATGAATTATTGTGCCAAAGGGATGGAGGTTTATGCAAGTATTGCAAGATGGGTAACAAATGGATGAAAGGGAGGGTGTTTGTGCTGCACTGCAAACTGAGTTGGAGGCAGGAGTCATAAGACACACATTACTCCTCACCCATAAACTTGGCATGAAAAGTAAGAGTGCGCATACAACAGGTATTTGGGATTAAACCTGTTTGGGAGACACTGGCAATGACCTAGAGGAGGAGGAGACAATTGTATTACACAAGAGGAGCCCTAAAACTTTGTACTTTAGTTTTTATAACAGTAGATTTGGAGGGCCAGCCTGTGCCTATCTCCACAAAGCAATAGGCAGGATTTCTGATGGAAGCTGGCATTCATCAGTTTGGAAACGGTGAGCAGGTGATGGGGTTACTGTAGGGGCATGACTGGAGGACATGTGGGATATTGGCTTTAAGAGGTGCTTCTAGCACAGCTGGGAAGTGTTGGTCCTGTTATACATGGTGCTTGCCAATATTTTGCATGATGGAAAAGTGGAACAAAGGAAAAGGTATCACTAGGGAGGCACTTCAGGCAGGCTGGAGAGATGATCAAGGGAGATGGACTAAGGTGTTGTGACATTGCTTAATCATTTTAAGCAGTGGGAACACATCCAGAGAATAAGCTCCAGGGTTGAGGAGGAGCAGTAATTGAATCAGAAGGATGATTTGGGCTTCTAAGCCTCTGAGGTACTTTGCAGCAGGTGCAGTGAGGATTAAAAACCTGGCTGGGCTGAGGAAAGTAAACCTTGATGAATATAGGAAAGAGGTTACTTGATGCCATTACTTGTTGTTTCAAGGTGCATGAGGACCCAGGAGGTTCCTTCCAGTTCTATGGTTTCTCTGCTATATAGCAAAATATTTTATTTAAAGGTTTGGGTTTTTTTTCCACATTTGTCAATTCTTCAATTGTATTTTTATTGATTGCTCTGTCTGTCAGGATTTCCATTTGGCCATGTAAGAAAAACAAGATAAAATGGCTGAAGTCTGATGCTGCCAATGTCTTTGGGCTTTCAGATGACAGCTTTCTAATTTAAGAATTGCATCTGGTACAGGTGAATCCTGTTTAAGCCCTTGTCATGGACAGAGAAAGATGAAATTAAACCATGAGTTTCATGATTATGTCATGGCTTAATTGAAATCTTACTTTACCCAATCAGAATCAAGTTCAAAGCAGTGATTTTATTTTTTTTGAATTATCATAAAGCTGTAAATAATTGAGTCAAGTCTGTTCAGCCACAAAACTTGATTCTACTTGATTGGGATTTGTGTGAGACTTGTCCTGCATGCTGCTATGTTTTTGGAAGGAGAAATCCCTTGTATGTGAAGGGATTGCTGCCTTCTTTCTGGTTTTGCTGTGCTTTCCTCACTTGCTGCCTCCTTTCTCCTGCTTTGTCTTGCTCTGCAGTATCCTTCTGTTTGCTGGTATGCTGGCCATCCCTTGCTGCTGTATCCTGTGTAACTTGGCTCCGTGCAGCTCATGTAGGCTCTTGATAGCACAAGAGGGGTGATGTGTTTTACCTGGCTCCATGCTCTTTAATTTGGCTTCGCAAAAATTAGGTGGAACATGCTGCACACTCCAGCAGAGCACATGAGGGAATAAAAAGAAGTCCTCAGACAGAACTTGACACTTCCATTCTGCTGTCCTTCATCAGCAAAGCTTTTCATTAATCTGCTGGAAGGGAGTGGAAGACCCACCACTGCTTCACCAGGGGAAAGACATCTCATGGTGCCAGACTGACTAATGGCATCCTGTGCAGTGAGGTTTCTGCAGTCTATGGGCTTCATCTGGCAGCTCTGTGTTGAGTGTACCTGGTGCAACCTAGAGCTCACTGTGGATGTTCTGGAATTGATGGGTGTTATTTGCCACCTCTGCTAAGGCTGTGGGTGGTCTTTAGTTGTGGACAATGGGTTTTGTCCATGCATTGTAAGCAGACTGCTCTTTGCCTGTGTTTCTGTAATGGCACTTGGTTAGCGATGCTGTATGGTGTGGATTTTCTCTTTCCTGGTCAGTCCAGTTGGCCCAAATGAATCACAAATGAATCACAAATGAGGCAGAGACAGAGTCTCCTGCCTTTGGCTCTTGGAGGTGAGAACTCCTGATTATGCTGGAGCTCTGGGGCTTAGACCTCTGCCTGTCTGTCCTGACTCATCTTTAAAACAGGGCTGAAACTTCTGGCAGCCCATTGGTTCTTCTTCAGATTCTGAAACAGTGCTGACTTGCATTGGTAGCTTTTCTTGTTTCTGCTTTTTAAAGAGAAGACCTCAGAGTGGAGAATTCCCCTACACTAGTGACCAAAGACCCTAAATTCAACTGTTGTATTGCTACAGCTGTGAAAGAGAATCATTGATATCTCTTGTCCAAAAGCTTGAGCTTTTCTTGATACTGAAATTCTCTCTTTTCTCCGTAGGTTCAGTACTGTGGCTTGCTGTTTCGCCACGAGGGCTGGCCCCTCTGTATCCATGAGAAGATTGTAGTCCAGCTGGCTTCCATTGACTGGCAAATCTTGAAGCCTGGTGACTTCTACCTGCAGGTGGTTCCCTATCTGAAGAAGTCTCCACGTATTGTATTGAAATGTTTGGCAAAGGACAAGCATAATGTAGAGGAAGTCGTGATTCCAGAAGTTTCCTATACCTCTATTTTTACTCTGGAATGGTTAAGTACTTTCAATGGAGAGCGGATGGGTATAGCACTGGAAAATTGTTTACTAACCACTGATGATAAAATATTTCGTGTCCCCTGGGATAAAGTGGTTAATCCTGAATTTATAAATAAACCAAAAATAATTGAAAACAGTATCATCTCTCCAGAAATTACAGAGGAATGTTCAGTTTTGTGCCTCCCCATGGACCATGCTGAGTGCAGTTCACCAGGCCTAGGATCTCAGTATCTGCAGGAAGAAAGTCCAATTCAAGACAACCTGGTCATCAGCAGCACGGCTCCCCAGTTAAGTGAAGCTCTTGTCAATGGTGTCTGTACAAGTCCTGTGTCTCAAGAGAACTTGAAAAGTGACCTTGAAGGGGAGTACGTTGAGCTGACGGAAGTTTCACTGCCCAGGTTTGGGCCACAAGCAGGCTCTTTAGCGCAGTCACTAGCTTTAAATTCTCTAACTCTACCCAGAACAAGAGTGAATGCATCTAAGGGCAAGGGCAGGTTCATCGTCATTCAAGACAGTACCTACTGCAAGAACGTAATTCAGTCAGCACTTATGCAGAAGGAGCACTGTCAAACAGACACCCTGAGAATCTCTTCTGCAGAAGCTCTCAAAAATGTAATTCCCTTGGAAAGCAGCAAACTGGTGGCAAGTGGAGAGCTGTCTCCAGAATGTCAGCTGATACCAGGTGGCCCTAGAAACATGGGGAATAGCTTTCCTGGGGCTGAATCTCCTGTCTGCAGTGCAGAAGATTTATCTGCAGAGCAGGAAATCTGCAGTGAACACTCAGTCGATTTGAGATACTCACTCTGCAGCTACAGTGATGTGTATGCTGGAGACAGTGTCAGCTGCAAAGCGCAAATGCCTGATGCTCCTGGAAACATGGGAAGAGAAAGTGATGGTCCTAGTGGAAATGCTGGTGTTGAAATATCAGAGCAGAGCCCAGAAACAATTGTAGATGCTACTGCTGCTGTGGAGATGATGGTAGGCGCACATGGAGAACCACTGACTGAGGGGCAGGATGAGGTGGCACAGATCTGTGCCTCTCCTCTCTCTGTCTCAGGGTCTTTGGGACCACACTGCACACTGAAGAAAGGTTCTGATATTTTTTGCCAGAGTGGAAGTGAAAGTGTTGCAGCAGCCCAGGCCACTACATTGCTTGTCACACCTGAGGGTTCAGATGTGGGTGTGGAGGGAGGCTGTCCTTCAGGGAGCACAGCAGATGCAGAAGTTGTTGGTGCTTGCTTCAGTGATCAGGAAGCAAACTTTAGTTCTCCATTAAACCCTCCAGAACAGAACCAAAGAGAAGTAGATGAATTTGAGCTGGAAAGACAGGACAGTCCAAAGGAAGTCAAAGAGGCTGAACAAATATTGACTGCAAATGGGAGTCAGACTAGTCAAAGTCACTGTTCTGATGAAGCTCCTACAGGTGGGCTGTTCTCACGTGGTGAAGAGCAAAAGGTCTCTACTTGTTGGCATAAGGAAGCTGAAGAAGTCACACTACTCCAAGCTGCTCTGTCAGCAGAGAGTGATCAAATGGCAGCACAATTAAATGGCAGTGACGCTTTGATGGGCCCTGATGCAGAAGCAGAAGGCTCAGGTCAGTCCAGAACTCAGAGGTCTGGAGAGGGGTGTGAGGAACCACAAACACAAGTAGAAAGCCATAGCTGTAAAAGTGAAGAGAACTTTGTGCTGAACCCAGAGCATGTCACAGTACAGGACTTGCAGGAAGGAGACGAGAACCAAGAAAGTTTTTCCTGTGGGGAAAAGTCAACTCTACCCTTAAAAACACTGGAATCCATTGAAAAGGAACAGGAGGTTGGACCACTTCCAGCAGGACCCAAGGGGCATATGAAGTGCACCATACTGCACTCCCACCAAGAGGCAGCTTCTGGGGCATCACGTCCTGAAGGTACAGCAATTGGGTGCGAGTGTGTTTATCTGTTTGATAACATGGGTAGAAAGCAAAGTCTTCAAGAGGCACTGCTCACAAGTGTGTCTGCTGGGAGGCTTTGGGCTAATAGCACAAAGTAGAGGAAGGTGATGAAGTTGTAATTTTTGTGGTTTGAAATTAGTTTTCTATTCCCAGGTGGGTTTATGTAGAAGTTTTGTTCAGTAGTTCTTTACAAATTTACATTGGTACAGAACAAAGTTCCAGTGTAAAAGACTTTTTTCAGTTAATCTGATTGCTGGTGACATCCACCCGTTACACCGTGTGCATGTCCTGGATGCATGAGGATGCATGGATGCAATAGAGATGTGTGAGAAAAGAATGTCTTAACCATACAGATCTTTCATAGTTGAAAACTGACTTTAGAAAGGTGGTTGTGGCAAGAGAAAGCAGTGTTGGATACCAAAGTAAAATACTAGTTGTGTAAACATGACCTGAAGATCAGCAAATGTGTGTGCTGGTAACTGATTTAAGAAGCAAACTGCAGATTGAGGAGTTCCTCCTTCTTCTCACCCTTCCCCTCCAGCATGTTTTCTTCAGCTTGGTTATGTTTCAACTAGGAGCTCTTTAACTCCAGTGGGAGAGCACAGAGAAATTAAGTATCTAACTTCAACTCAGACAGTATGTTCAAGCCAAGGCTCCTGTGCGGGACCTGTGTTCCTTCTGAAGGAATCAAAGAGGCAACCTAGGTGTCTCTGCTTTTTGCAGCAAGCCGTAGGCAGGCAACTTGTAACCACATGGATGTAATGTTGGCTCTGCTGAGTCTGGCAAGCTGTAGATATGCAGATCACATGGAGGAGCCGGTGTGTGGCGGGGGCGGTGGAACATGCCATTCCAGTTCAGCAGCTCTCATTCTCTGAGACCCCTGGCTAGGAGGATTACCTGGATTTGGATATTGGAGTGAGGACTATTGAGAGGGTTGGAGGTACAGGTCTACATTGCTAAACTGTCTGTGGAGGAACAGGTCAAGAGCTGGTTGGCTTGGGGGAGGCTGCCAGTGTAGTGCTTGCGTTGGTCCTAAACTGTGGATAAGAGCCTGTATCAGTGCTGCAGCACTGCTCCATGTGGCTGCAAATGCAGCTGCTTTCTTAAGCGTCGGAAAGTCAGATTTTACCCAGTGCCTTACTGTGACTTCCTAATGGAACTGAAGTGACTGTTGATTAAAATGAAATTTCATTAACACCTGCATCAGAATATTTTAATTCCATAATTAGGCAAACCCACAGTTGCCAGGTATTTCTGATACTTCAGCCTCCCAATACCTTAAGGGGGCCTACAAGAGAGGGACTTCTTACAGTACAAGGGGGAATGGCTTTAACCTGGCAGAGAGGAGATGAAGATGAGATCTTAGGAAAAAGTTGTTCCCTGTGAGGGTGCTGAGGCCCTGGCACAGGTTTCCCAGAGAAGCTGTGGCTGCCCCATCCCTGGCAGTGTTCAAGGCCAGGTTGGGTGGGGCTTGGAGCAACCTGGCCTAGTGGAAGGTATCCCTGTCTGTGGCAGGCGATTGGAAGGTCCCTTCCAACCCAAACCAGTCTGGGATTCTGCGATACTTCTGGAGTGACAAGCATTTCTCTTCTGTGAAGCTCAGAAGTTTCTTTTTCTGAAGTATGTGTCCCTCTGAGGATCTACCACCATAAGCAGAGAGGTCCACTTCTGCCTGTCTTTAGGGGATGATGTCACCTGGGGCTGTGTGTCAGTAAAGAACAACACTGTTGATATCCATTCCCCTGGCCAAGCTGAACCCAGCTTGATTTTGTTTTTCTGAAGGACTAGACCCCAAAAAGCTGGGCTGTGTTGAGTGCTGGGTGCACAGAGAGTCTTCTCATGATTCCAGTGGCTGCTTGCTTGTTCTGTGTTCCCATCTCCTCTGTCTAAAATAAGCCAGGTCCAGCTGGTATGTGAGACAGTAAGTGTGATGTTCTTCCTGTTCCATAGGATGAGTCGTGGCAATGGACCTCTCTGGGGTGTGTGTGGAGTTTGTTCTTAATGAAAGACAATTTAAATGTTTCCAGGGATTTGGCTGAAATAAGTGACATTGGTGGCTCAGTTCTGCAGGTGTTAAAATTTGGCATTAGCAGTTAAAAAAAAACCCTGTTATCTCAGAGTTTATAAACCCAAAGAAACAAATCACCAGGAAAACCCCCAAACCGACCCCTCTTTAAGGCACAGGGGCAGCTGTGCCATGAGTATTTCTTAAACACTATAGCTGGGACTATAATAAACTTAATCCATTTGATTGCTTTGACATTCAAACAGGCCATCCCATTATCTAGTCCCATTAAACCCTCAGAGATAGAATAATAAGATAATTCAGAGATAAAGTTATGGAGCAAAGTCCTACAAATGGACTTTTTCTCTTCGAGTCAGTGTCTAAACAAGTTAAAATTCTCCGTAACTGTGTCTTGGTGGGGTCATTTTCTTGCTATGATTGGAAACTGGGTATTTTGCCTAAACTGTAGATAACAACAAGGCTTAAGCTTTACTGGGTCAGTTGGGAGCTGCAGTTCTTACCTCAGCAATAGGGGGCAGATGTATGATTTGCTCTGTGTGAGGTGGAGGAGCTTGGTTGTTACAGCAGACACTAGATTATGTCAAAATACACATAATGGGGCATTGAGTTTACTGTGTCTGCAGGTTTTTCCTTGTCCCTTAAATCTCTCCTCTTCCTTCTGCCTCCCATTTCCTCATTTTCTGCACAAATATGGTCTATAACCTAGAAAGATTTTGTGTCAAATGGGAGTTGTTTTGAGTTGTCTTAAAATTCGCACCGCTTCCATTCACAGAGAATGTAACTGCTGTTTTCTTCTAATGACTAACCTGAAGTGAAAGTGAGTTTTGAAACTTTGCAGCTCTGGAAAGAATCCCTATATTTTGGGGGTGGAAGGTATCTTGATAGCAAGGAATTGGTTGAAAAGCCACACTGGGGCATATTCAGCAGCACCTGCTGGGGCGTTCCATTCCTGCTCTCTGTTACCACATGATGTTAGCATAGATGATACTGGTACCAGCGCAGTTGACAGGAAAAATGCTAATGTCTCTTTGAAATTCACACAAGCAAATCCTCCTCTACCACTTCCTTAACCTCGGGGAAAGGAGGAACCTGCAAACATGGCAAATTCAAATGTCCCAGCTCCCAGTTTGCTTTTTGATGTAATCCTCCACATTCTACAATTTCCACTTTAGTAAATGCCTCCACTCCACACTCCAAATAACAGTGTTCTGGGGTCTGTATGGAGAGAGGTGGTGTCTGCAGAGCTGAACTGAGCCTGAGAAGCTTGGGGAAGAGGTTTGGGTAAGATGGGCGTAGTCTGGAGGCTTCCAGTGTGGTTTCTCTTGGACTGAAAAGCCCCAGCACCAGGACTGTGCTTCTCTCATCTAGTTTTGGAAGCTGCTTATTCCAGAGATATCCAAGGCAGGGCTGCCATGTACATTTGTGTCTTTTTCTTGCCCTAGTGGTATCTTCAGTATGTTCCGTTTCTTGTCTTTAAACATGATCTTCTGGTCTTCTTTGCAGGCTTTCTGCATTTACTGCAAATTCCTTTACCACAGACTAGTTGGTTCTGTTTATTGCCAGGCTTAAAGCACCTTGAGAAGATGACTATGTTCTCCTAGAAAGTCTGTTAGTCTTTTACGTGAAACCTTTGGGGCACAACATATGTGACCCTGTGAAATTCAAGATACCCCATTTACAGGAGATTGGTGCTCCCCTGAAATACTGCTTCAGGAAGATCTAGCAGTGTTGTCCAAAGTGATTGACCTCTTGCATTGCCGGAAGGTGAAGGCTGAGGTAGTGCTAGGAACAGAACTGAGCTCTGCTACATGCCAAAACCTTGCAGAGCCCTGAAGCCATCACAGCAGTTTACATGGCCAGGTGCAGCAGATGCCAACCTGGGTCCCAGCAATGCTCCTTCAAGAGGGGTGTTACCAAAAAGTAATGAGCAGTGGCTCCACCATGGCCTCAATGGTGCAATGCTCTGGAGCCCCTACTAGTTTCCCCCTGCTGCCAGATAATTTTGCGCAGTGAGCCACGCTGCTCAGGGCATTTCTCTTACCCACTTTAGCAATTTTGAAAGCAGCTGGGCTTGAGTCTCAACCTGTAAATCTTCATTGCTAAAACTTGTATCAAAAGCCACTTCAAGGACTGCTTTGTTCCTGGTCCTGCTCTTTAATGAAGTATTGGAATCTGTTAGTAAATAAACTGAGTCAAGTGTCAGCATTGTTGATGTAGCAGGAAGGTAGGATGGTTGAAGTCAATTTTAAATAGCAATTAAAACGTCTGACTTCACAGCAAGCAAATAAATATGCCATTCTTTTATTTTCCTAAGAAAAGGTTGATTTTTGTTGTTGGATATTGAAGTATGGGGGTTTGCAGTGAAGTACAGCCTTTTCTTTAGTCTGTCTTTCTGGCATGCAGTGGGATAGTGTAGCAGAGTACTTAAGGTGCTAAAGACATAGTGTAGAAGATGTATGTATTGTTGAAGATGTATTTTTGACTTCTAACCCCTATGGTGTTGAGACATGGAGAATACTACTTACACAATAGGTAGTAGGTTGTTTTTTTTCTTTTCTCAAACTACTTTTACAAGAAAATTGAAACTTGATAAAACTAGCATTAGTATCACGGAATCCAAGAATGGTTTGTGTTGGAAGGGACCTTATAGCTCATCTAGTTCCAACCCCCTGCCATGGGCAGGGACACCTTCCACTAGACCAGGTTGCTCCAAGCCCCGTCCAGCCTGGCCTTAGCTTCCATGTAGTTGCTTAGGTATTTAATTTTAGAATTAACTGATTCTTATAACTTGTACTTTACAGCTGAGGTATTGGGCAAAGGCAGCATTTTCTCCAGTTCTCAGACAGAGCTGATTAGTGTAATCATCCTGTTCTTCAGGGGTTTAAAGTAAGTTCCTGACTTTCACAGTGACTATTAATTAACGTCTGGACAAGCAGCAAGGTCTCTTTGGCTCATTTTCAGTTGACTTGTCAGCCTCCAGTTGACTTCATATTTTCAGGAATTAATCTGAAAGTGGTGTTGGGGGAGTAATTCTGCTCTGGAGCAGCTGGCCCTGTCAGAAACTGGTTTATCACTGTACTGTGCTCAAGCTGCTGGATATTGGCCAGGGACTTGTGCTGTGCCAGACGTTCAGGCTGTGAGCGGACATGTACTGCTCGATATCTTACCTTTAAAAATTACTTGGACTACAGTAATCCTGATCTGAATTGAGGTTTTGTACCTTGCAAACTTAGCAGTTGTTTTTTGGGTTTTGTGGTTGGTGGTTTCTTTTTGTTGTTGTTTTTTTTTTTTTAAGGATTTGTTTGTTTGTTTGGGGGGGGGGATGTTTGTGTGGTGGTTTTTTTTAATTTGTTTTTTGTTTGGGATTTTGTTTTTGTTTTGGTTTGGTTTTTTTTTGTTTTGGGTGGGTTATTTTAGTAGAATTACAGTGGTATTAATGTTTTAGAACCAGTTTGGAACATGCCTGCTACCAGTGTGAGGACTGGAGGGTGTTAGGGGTGGAAGAATTCCTCCTCAGTCTGGTACTCACCTGGGACCTTCTGGGTGGAGCTCTGCTCAGCTTCTGACTGCTGCTTGTCTTACAGGGATGGTGTCTGAAGGGGCAGAGACTAGAAAAGAAGCAACTGGTGCAGATGTGTTGAAACCAGTGAGTCAAGTCAGTCCCCTGGAGGAAAACTCAAAAGCCATTACTCCCCCGACATCCCCAGCTCCTGGGGCTGCCTGGGGTAGTCGGTCTGCACCTACCATAGCCAAGGATGTGAACCCAGAAGTGCTCAGGAGTGGAGTTGCCTACCTGCCTGGTGAGTAGCTGAGCCAGAATATGCCTGGTGTGATTTGTAGGAGGGCAAAGGAGATAAGCCTCTGCTGGCAGCGCTGCAGACTAGTGCCAGTTCCATTTCTTTCATCCCAGACCTCTCCAGGACCAACACTTCTTGAATTATCTAAAATTTCTGGATGGGAAGGACAGGAAGTAGAACTTCCCTCTCACGAGAGTCATATTAACTTGCTCCCAGGACTCTGAAAATGTAAACCAAGCACCTGTGAGTCAGAAATGCCGTATGTGTGGGCTCATCCCAGTAGTTCAAAGAGTGAAGGTGCAGCTAATGATAGGCTGGTGGGCCTGACATCAGACCTGGTCGAAACAGTAGGACCTTGATTCACTTGGGAGATACTTAAAGGATGGAAGATGCCATTTGACAGCGCTCTTGTAAAACCAGTTTTATTCTTGGTAATTAGAAGTTTGTTTGATTAAATGTAGCTGCCTAGATATAATAGATTTTTGGAAAACATTTGATTTCATGACACGTAGTGTTGGCATATCCCAGTGAGGTGTGGCTGAAGCAACATGTGGGATGAATGATAGCATAGCTGAGTATAAGATGACAAAAACTAGCTGTCAAAAGAGGACTTCCCAGAATTGTATTGCTGAGATCATTTTTAGGTCAAATATTATTCAGTGTTTACATGTGATATGGGAGCTCCCTTCCAACCTGTACCTGATTGTACGATGTCCTGCTCAGTACTGTAGCTGCAAGACCAGCTTTGACCTGGGATGTGTAAAGGAGAGGGGATGACTAGCCAGACTAAGCAAGTGCTTTTTACCTGTGTGTACTTGGGATGATGCCCCTCAAATAGTTTGGGGTGTTCTGCTGCCTCTGTTATAAAAGGAAGTGGTGAATTTTGGAGGTGGGGCAAGGAAGGGTGACAGCCATTGTGTAATTGAATTGGATGTCTTATGGCAAGAGATTGGGAAGTTGTTTATCTTAAAATCCTGGAATGGTTTGGGTTGGAAAGCACCTTAAAGCTCATTCAGTTCCAGCCCCCTGCTACAGGCAGGGACACCTTCAACTCGACCAGGTTGCTCCAAGCCCTGTCCAGCCTGCCCTTGAACACTTGCAGATGTTTTGTAAGATGATTGAGAATGAGGTGAAAACACCTCTGTGCAGGGAAGGAGGAAGGGAAATAAGATTTGTCCAGTCTTCCAGAAAAAAAAGTGAATGAGAAACCAACTGCAGGGCAAAGCTGTGGTACACTCAAACATGTAACTTTGCCTTGGGAGATAAATTGTTACAACAAACTGGAAAGGAGGATTTCTAATCTTCTGGTCTGCTGAGCAGGTTGGATGTTCTCATACTGTGTCCAACAGCCAAAAAATCACAGCGTTTGAGAGGGGTCTGTTAGAGAAGCTCATAGTCTGTGGTGTTGAAGAAGCCTGACTGTGATCCAATGTTCTAGTTGTTTCCTTTGTCATAGAGTCCTACCAGAAATGTACAGCTCTTAAACATGGCAAATGCGTCTGAGTATGGGATGAAGATATGTATCCTTGAGGTGCATTTAAGGCACAAGGTTTGGGTTTGACATCACTTCTAAGGGAGGAGTCATGTTTTCTGTAGAAGCAGTATTAGATTTGAGTGACATTTTTGATCTCGTGTGTCTCCTTGGGTTTCAGTAGGTAAGTCCTGAGGGAATGCCCTCACCACTTGATTGAATGCTTTCTGTTAGACCTTAATAATGATACATTAATTACATTAGAAGGGATAACTTTTATAAGGTATAGTGAATAAGAGCTAATTAATTATCTAGTAGCTTATGGGGTTGGGAATAAATCTTCCTTCCAGGAGTTTCAATTCTGTATGCTGCTGCTCTTCGATCATCTGGTTATGCCACTCTTGGGAGCCTAGCCCTAGTGCTTGCTTTTCTGCCCTGGCCAGGCAATTCCCAGGCTCCTATAAGGAGGTTCAAGGTTTACTCTGGTTCTGGCAATGCCCAGCCACCCTGATGGACAGAAGATGTTGCTTCAGAGTAAGGAAGATTTTACTGACCTGGGTTATTGCGCCATTTTCCCAGTAACCAGTGCTTTGCTTTTATTTTCTGATGATCCCCTTAGAAACAAGGTATATTAGTAAGCTTTTTCTAATTTCTGTCTAGCTCTTTGATTACACAGTGTCCAGAATACAGCAGTGCAGGAGTAATAAGCCTCCTCCTGAGCCACACAGACAATGGAAGATTTTGTCCCTGCTGTTAGCAGGAGGGAGCCTGTGCCACAGGTCTGGTCCCTGGGAGCAAGAAAGTCCTGCTCCTGAATGATGCCCATCTGTGTCAGTGGCTCTTACTCAAGTCATGTCTTAGTGACAGATTGAGGTCACACCATGGCAGTTTTCTGTGCTTGGGGCTGTCTGTCTATATATGTTTTACCTGTCCACTTGCATGCTTGTCCCTGGGATGGGGAGAGAGGTGATCCAGAACTGTATGACCTGTGGTAGCAATGAAGTTCAGAAGAGACAGAACGACAGTACTCTCTCTAAGCCTCTGGTTCTGTCTTGTGGTTGGAATTTCCCACCCCTAACCCCTCCATACAATTTGTATGGCAGGAACTGGCTCCTGTTTTTGTGAATTACTTTTCACACAGGAGAGGTGTAGTCCCTACTGTTAGCCAAATTGGTTACCTCCCTGGTTCTTCAGTTCTCTTCCTTTCCTTCAGAGCTCTTGGTGCATGTTGTGGCTGAAGCCTAAAGCCAGACTATCGCTCAGTTTTGGGAGCTCCTAGAGCAGACTTGGTTCCTGTGATGTCTTTGGGCTTTTGGAAGGCAGGAGCAGATAACTCTTCTGGCTGACTGAAGCAGAGGGGTTTCTCTTTCCTCAGTGTATCACTGCTCAGCTGTGTTGCCCGTGCTGTGCCTTATCTATTCCTAGGCACTGAGCAAGCTGACAGTAATGACAGCCTGGCACTGACTTGGCTGTCTGGTGCCCTTCTGGTCTGCATGCTTTGCAGCCATGGTTGAGAGCACTGGGCTCTTGGTCCTCCAGGGCTTTGCTCTCAGGAGGAAATGTCTGTTTCCATGTGGATGCCCAGTCTCATTAGGTAGCACATGTTGTTCTGCAAACCTGCCTGCATTCTCTCATCTGACAGCAATGTGACTACTGTAACATAAGTTAGGGTGTTAAAAGATGAGATTATTTACGTGGAGCTTGAGATTCTTGCTTTTCTCACATGGTTGGGTTATCATTATCCAAATTCAGCCATATTTTGTGAAGAACATCTGTCTGTGTAGAAGAGAGCACTACAAATGCAGCACTACTGTGAGAGAAAGACAAACAGAGCTCAGCTACTTTACTCAGACAGCATTTGGATGCTTTGGAAGGGTGTATATAGCCTACCACAATCTGTGGCATACACTATATCAAGTTCTGTGGACTTGATTAGTCCATTTCCAGGAACGTGGTGCGGTGGCAGTAGGGGAATATGGGGCATACACAACTAGAATCAGACTCTGTTTACTTCCTTGTGTGACATTTTGTTTCCCCCTCTTCTTTTTACAGGTACCAGAGATAAATCAGGACGTGCAGTGACCATAATAACAACAAGGAACACAGTCTGGTTAAACCCCCACTGCAATACCACTGAGCTTGTGCGCCTTCTTCTGTATTTGCATAGCATCCCAAGGTTTGTGACACTTTTGGGCTGACAGGCTTTTGCGGGTGGAAGCTGAGGCAGAGGGTGGACCAGGTTGACTTTATTGGCCTAGGAACGTGATGCAGACTGTCCCAAAACTGTATAGATGGGGATCCACTGCTAGGGTGAACTGGCTTGTGTTCAGTAAACGTGCTGGCAATTCTGTATCTGCCTTGTGCACATGCTGTGGTAGAATTAGGTATGTACTGAATGTTTTCATGCATTGCTATGAATCCAAGCCATTCTTGTTATCCTTCATTAGCTCAGAAAATGGGATTTGGAAGCTATGACAGGGCAGTCATGCAGCAGCTCCATGATAGTGTTGTGACATGATATTTTAGGACCAGCCCTTCAAGCTGAGAGGGAGGGAGGATCTGCAAGGGTTGAGAAAATCTGCATTGATGTCTGGCTGACAATTCATTTTGGAGTCTGCAGGCTGGAGTTTGCTGCAGTTACTCTTCCATTCAGTATGACGGACAGCCTCATTACTCCCTCCAGCTCATCTCAGGCTCTACTGAGACTTTGTTTCATTTTTAGATGATTAAACTATTAAGAGGTAAAGCTTAACTCTCTGTTAGTGATTGTTTGTTCTGTTAACAAACAAACTGGATAAAAGGAGCAGGCTTAACCTACAAGAAACCTTCTGCTACTCATGCTTTGTTTCTTATGCTTCTCCTTTCAAATCTGATACTGGCCAAGATCTTTGGGGCTGATGCAGAAGGGCTTTTCTTGTGAAGCAGTGTGGTTAAGGCCAAGCTTGTCCCTGAATACAATTAGGAAGGACTGGGTTTCCTGTGTGGATTTCCCAGAGCGGGCATCAGCACCTCTGCCATCAGTGAGATGTATCCTAGGAACTGGGAAGTTCAAGTGGAAATAGTGAAGGTAAAAACAGAGCAATCCAGGAGGTGGTTTTTGTATGTATATGTATTTTGGTTAGGAGAAGGTGGCCAGTTAGTTCCCTGTTCTTACAGAGCTGCAATGTACTGGGTTTTCTTTACCCTGTCATGATTACAGGTTCTGTTTTCATAGTCTTGTTGACTGTCACTGGTGACAAAAGTGACCTCTTTCTCTCTGTCTTTGCAGACCAGAATGTCAGGCATTGGGTCTGACTGTTCTTGTGGATGCTCGTCGCTGTTCACCAGTTCCCGCTCTCTTCAAGGCATTCAGCACACTGCAGGTGAGCATTGAGCCTGGGCAAAGAAACACTAGTTGGCTTGCTGTCTTGCTTGGATGTTACATCTCCGTTTGTTGCTTATGTTTCCGTCTGCTACCTGGCTTTCAGTTAACTTTGGGAGGTGGAGTTATTCAGGCAGCCCTGTCTTAGGACGATGATCTGGACTTGCCAGACTGCAGACAAAGCAAAAAACCTAAGCAAGTCTGAGTTAAAGGAGAACACCCCTCCACATCCCTCCAGATTTGCTTCTACCTCTGTGCTGCGAACACCCCATACCCAACTCTAAACACTGTCAAGAGGTATCATCCTTGGAGATGTTGTCCCCTGCACTGCAGGGCTGTGTGAAATATACAGGGAGGAGAGGCATCTGCCTGCTGCAGAGGGAAGGGAAAGACACTGCTTGTCTTGCCAGGTGGCAGAGCTCATACAGCGGTTGATGTGGCTGTCAGTGAATGACGGGAATTGGACGTGCTGTAACTCTGTATTGCTTCAGGTCAAAGGCTTTCATATCAGTTACTTGGAAAGCAAGTGGGCTGTGTTTTCCCCACTCCCAAGCAGCTTTTATCTACTGCTGCCAGGAAGCCAAGGAGATGCTGGGATGCAGCTATGACTAATCCTGTTTAAGCAGGTGTTCCTTTTAAATCAGAGCTTAGGTCTCTTAGGACTCCAATTCTGAAAACTGGAATGGGGCAATGTTTTAATGAAGCTGGTGTCTCTGTGGTTTGTATGCTTCAGTGCCACATCTGAGAGTTGGAACTGAGTCAGAAGTCTGTCTTCCTGCTTCCTGGGCTGGGTGGAGCTGTGAGCTCTATCAGTGTGCTCCTTCTCTGTGATGAAAGAGTAATCCGGTGCCCTGCTCAGTTCTGCAGAGGGAACAAGCAAGTACCTTCTCTTCTGTGCTGTGCCCACATGCCAATGGGCTTGCTAAAGCTTTTAAGGATTTTCTTGCCCATGTAACATTCATGGTCACGGTAATGGGATGATTTGGAAATCAGCAAAATGTAGAGGCTGTCCCCAGTCTCATACAAGCATGACAGGAATAAAGCCATTCTAACCTTAAGTTTCCTACCCTCTGAAAGAAGGTAGGGGGAAGCTTTTTGCAGTGCCTCTGTAATATCCTGCTGTGATGACTATTTGGCTCTGTGCACCTTATTATCAGGGTGGTGCAACAGTTAGTTAACAGGGATTAATGTGCTGCAAGATAGACTGTTGAAGCTGAGCATGTGCCCCAGGTAACAGTGACTGACGGGCTGATGGCTCTGCTTGTGGTTTTCTGATCATTACCATGACTCTTCTGCAGACTCTGAATGAGACCTGTTCAGCTAGCTCATCATCTGGTTATGGCACAGGAATAATCCCTTGGCTCCTCTGAGATCCTTTAGGACTTACCTCTGTGATCCTACTTTCACTGGCTCTGAAACAAGGATATAGAGAAGTACAGAAATCTGACTTTAACTGCAGTGAGGCAAACTAAACTTTCTGGAGCACACTGAGGTTTGCAGAAGCACAGTCTGTGTGTTCCTCCTTTAAGGTTCACAGAACAGATCATCTCCTTGGGGTCCTTTCTGAAATTCCTGACACATCTCACAGTGTCTCTTATCTCTGGCAGACTGTCTCTGGAGCTCATTTCTCTGCTGTTCTCTCTACTTTAACAGGATTTTATTTATATGGCTTTTGTGAGACCTACTATGCTAATGTGAATGTAATCTGTTAAATGTTGAGACCTGGTGTTGCTTGTTCAATTTTGAAGGCTGGTTTTCCTCTTGCCTCCACACTGGGCGAGCACAGATCGGATGTCCTAATGCAGAGTCTCTTCCTGCTGCAGTGCTCTAATATGTTAACCCTAGAGAACCTCCCCGAGGAGGGAAGACTGATTCCACAGGCTTCTAGGTTGAGATCTGTCAGTCTGAGGAAATACTTCTTCCACTTCTCTATCTTTCCTGAATAAATGCATGAATGGACTTCAGTGCTAATGTACAGCTTCTGGTGCTTACAGGTAATTTTCCCTACAGCACTGGGATACTGTTAGTTGCTCTGCCTAGAGCCACCTAGTAAACTGGTGAGAGCTTCTTATCCTCTCCATCTTAAGGGTGGGGGCAGTTGTGTTCTGCAAGCTTTCTTCCCCCTTCCCTTTTTAGAATATGAGTGGTTGGGAAACCCTTTTTTCCTGGGCAGCACCAGGAGCTGGGGCAGAATATGGTGCCACAGCAGAGCTAACTCATGAAGGAGCAGGAGGAACTCTGGCAGTTCTGCACAGAGGTGAAGGGAAATGCACAGTGCATACATGCTGCAAGAATAGATCAGGCTTGTTTCTGTGGGAAGCTGCCTAATGATGCTTCAAAACAAGGATTTCTGCAGAGGTAAAGGATGCTGTGGTTTTTGTTCACAGGTTGGTTGTTCACCAGTAAGCTTTGTGCTGGGGGAATCTACTCAGAGGTGCCTTGCTGCTTGGTAGTGCTGAGCTGATATGCTGGTCTGTGAGCAGGCAGGGTGTGGACAGTGGAATGTGTGCACTGGCCTTCAGTGAACAGGTATCTGTGGGATTTTCCTCTGCCTGAGTCTTATTGGAGTGAGATTCTTTTGAAGTCTGCAAATCAGGGCAAACACTTGATCCTATGATCTGCTGCATCTCTGTGTTGGATCGGGAAGGGAAGAATGTGTATGAAGACAACTAGCAGGTGTAAACAGAAAAGCTCTATGCAAACCTTTCTGTTCAAGAGGACTATTTGCATGCCCTGTTACTGCAGAAGTACAGAGGACCTTGGTCTGATATTAGAGACCAGGGACCTCCTACCACTCCATCAGAAGTGGTCACTTTGAGACTGAACATGGTATTTAGGGACCGCCAACCTACACAGGTGTTCCTGGTAGCTTGTGCTTCAAACTGTGCCAGTGTTATAAGTCTGGTCGTGGGCTTCCATTTTGGTCAGGGAGCCAGAAGAATGTTTGAAATTTAAGTCTGAGAAGGATAGAAGAAAGTATTTAATTCTCTTTTTAAAGAATAATACTAAAAGGATAGATATTTACTGTGGTGCTTTCTGAGCTCCTGTTGAGCCCTTCTGTTCTATGCTATCCACACTGTGCCTGTTTTGGGACGTAAGGAGTTCACTCACATATGTAGGACTCTGTCTTTTTGCTTCCAGATAGCTGTTTTTGTTAGTGAAGGCAGTAAGAGTTCTGCAGAAAGCTGCAAGAAGGCTTCCTCAAGTAGCATCCTGCTGTTACCAGCTCTGCTTTTCTCCTGAGGCACTCCTGTAATCTGCTTTAGTCATTTTGGATTACTCCATCAGTGCTGGATGAGAGTGACTTCTCTTCTGCTGTTTAAAGAAAAATATATGTTGAAAATGCTTGATTTCTTTGGAAATACTACCTCCTCTTAGATTGGAAAACCCTGAACTTCTCCCCTGACAGATTTCTTTGGAAATGGTTTTCCAGTTTCTATTTTCAGGAGTAACAAACGAGTGAGTGTTTTGGCTGCTGTAACCTCATGTTACACCATCACTACCTTTATCCCTGAGTTAGATTGCAATTCTCATGACTGTTGGAGTGGAAGAGGGATTGTGAAAGAAGAAATTTATTTAGTACCATGGACTGTCTTCAAAGTGTGCCTAGTCTTCATCCTTCAGCATCTTGTAGCAGGCACATTCAGAGCTGCTGGTAAAGTTGTAATGCTTCTCCATCCTCTGTTCAGATGAGCTTCAGTATTTACCTAATGCAGCCTAATTATGCAATAAATTCTTTTTGGCCTTTTAACCAGTGTTCAAGTAACAGTGAAAGTGGGAATAATCTGCTTTGGAGAAAGGGATTTGAGAAGACTTGGAAACCTCTCACAGTTTTGGAAGGTGTTTCAGTTGGGATTTTTTTCCTGCCATTCAAAAAGATCCTTCTTTAGGACTCGATGAGAGAAAGGTCTTTTTCCTCTGCTCTGGAATCTCTGCTGCTGCTTTGACTTGCAGTACTGGATCTCTTTGTGTTGGCACTGTGTCTTGATCTGTGTACTGGGCCCAGTGACAGGTTAGGTGGCTCAGTCTCTTCTGGTCCACTTGCCTCCGTACACTGGCTCTGCTGCTCATGTCAGATCTTTAACCCTAAGCACTGCCAGAGCCATTTATTTAACAGGTATCCCTTGCTGACACGGCCAAACAATACTGGAATAGATTTGTTGCTTGGCAGTTCCTGAGATCTTTGCAAAGTCAAAGACAGTCTTAGGCCACATCTAGATAGGATAGCTCTTACTTAACCATGTGGCATGACAACTTAAATGGCTGTTCTCCTTGCTATCCTGGTCATTATGTAGGTAGTGGGCCTGTCTCCATGGTCTGGCCTTCCTGCTGTGTTTCCCTCTTCCTGCTGTCACACTCTGTGCCTGTTTCTCAGTTCCCTGTAGAGTACTTCTATAGTTGGAGAGCTGCTCCTGGATCATGGAGTTTGAGCCACAGCTGCCAGACATCCCTTGTGTTTGGACTTTCTGTTGGTTTAACAGTAGCAACAGGTTGCAAGTCCTTGATTGTGTGTTGGCAGTAAGTAAAGACAAGAGATGTTTTGGCACTATGGGGAAAAAAACCCAACAACTTCCTTTTGGTTAGGAAAAGTAACCAGGAAAGTTATCAAGAAAAAACTTGGACATTGAATATGTGTTTTTTTTCCTTGTCCCTGCAGAGTTTTGTATTTTTTAATTTTATTTTATTTTTTTAGTGTAGCCCAAACCTGAACTCTTTGCTTCCTTAAATGCTGCAGGACTAGTTGATGTGAAGGAAACTACTTTAAGGATATGGCCTTGATGCTCTTCAGAATGGCCGTTCCTATAACTGGTGACGGCTCTCCAGGCTTTTGGAGGATATATACTTCCTCTGGAGGGTATAAATACCTCTGAAGGATAAATTGCAATCTCTTGTATAAACCTGGTGTGGTACATCCTCCTGGGCATCCCAGGCAGATTGGTAATGGCTTTGTGCTCTGTTCTGTTGTAGGAAATAGATCCTAATTGTATTCATGGAGTATTGCTTCTGGTTGAGAGAGACCTGACTTTTCGGATGGAGAAACCACCAGCAGGACAGGTAATGGAGCCACTCTTCCAGAGGTTGCTGGGGAGCTCTTGCTGCCCTTTATTTAGCTCTCCAACCAGCAGCTTCTCTGTCCTCTGATGTGTGTTTATCCTTACATGAAATCTCTACAGTTGTTCTGTTTTATGGCCGTGATCTCTTAGGGGTGTGGTATTTATAGGGTTGTAAAGTTTATGTGAACTGAACAGATCTGCCATGCCCTGTTTACTGTAGAGTCCATCAGTGACATTTGTGTGATAATTATGTCAATCTGCTGGGGCCCTTAGGACACAGGGAGTTTTTTGGGCACATAGAAAGCTGTACCAAGGAGCCCTGCCCAATTAACAAGGATAGAGATGCTTTTCACATTCTCCTGTTAAGGAGGGGGGAAATGCTTGGTAAGGAAGAGATCCTGTTAGGCTAAATCCTCAACTCTGTCCTTTGAAGGAACTTGTTGCTTTCCTGGATTTTTGCATATCTCATATTTTCTTTCCTTACAGCTGCTGCTGCTGCAGTGGCTAAAAGTCTGCTGCAAGAGGGCAAAGAGGAGATGACTGTGAGGTCCTCTTTGCAGCTGAAATATCCGGGAAGACTAACAGGAGGTGTCTGTGCAGGGCTATAAGACTATACAGGAGGGAAAATCATCTCAGCATCCCAGAAAACCCTCACTAGAAGTAAATCTGCCTTGATATTCCATAGCTATATTAGGTGCTCTGCCACTCTGTGGCAGAAACACACTCTGAGAGAAATGAACATCAGACTGTGTCTTAACATCTTTCTCTGCTCTCGCACTCTTACAAGCCACAAAAGTTGACTGAAATTCTGTGCCTGCTGAAACCCTGTAGACTTCAGAGCAGGCCAGGGCCTCCCTTTTGGCTCTTGTGGATGAAAACATTGTGAATATCATCAGGTTTGCTCTGTGTGTGGTGTGCTGCCCCAAAAGGCTGAAGAACACCTAATGAGTCCATTTCCTCATTGCCCCCATGTGGAAGCATCTGAAGTCAGAAAGGAGGCTGAAGGCATGTGCATGCAGGAAGAGCTACAGAAGACATTAAACATATTGAAGGACTCCAAAGAGTGTAAGAGGGAACAGAGCAAAGGGTAATAAAGACACAGGCATGCAGGAGGAATTGGAAACATCATTGCTATTTTTTAAGGAGGTGGAAAACTTCACAATGGGGTGGGGAGGTGGTGTTTACTGTCTGTACCTGAGTTTCTGTGTATGGGCTGGCTTCCATGTACCCTCAGGAGCACTTGTCTGTCTCTCTGGTGAGTATAATACTGCTCTGAGGTACTACAGACTTGCAGAAGGTGAGTTATCTGAATCAAGATCTGGGAAACACTAGGAGCAAATAGCTGCTGTGATGAGTGAAGAGTCAAGGGTAGGGCAAAGACTGTGCTGTTAGACTGTTTTTCCAGGAAGTGACATGGGGAAGCTGGTGGCTGGATTTCACCTCTCAGCTATCCAGACAAATGCAAATTGCAGCACAACGGGAACACAGGGGAGAGTTGCTCTGCTTCTACTAGGAGGTACGAGCTCTGGAAAAGGCTGGCTACTGCCAGACTTCCATCCCAGCTGTTCTGCTTGGTGAAACGGCACGCTGTGGCCTGCATTCTCTTGAGGTTCACCCACTAAGGTGTACAGCAAGCTGCTCCAGGATTGAACTGATCTCTTAATTTTTTTCTTTCATATTGTAGTGATATGTGCTGTGTGCCTTGTTCCTGTGCAAGATAGGTAAAGGATGCTGGCTTTTGTTACCCTTCACCTCCTCCTTCAATACTCACATCCTAATGGAATATGTGCTTTTTTTTTTCTTCTATTCCTGTGCAGTTTGAACTTCTCACCTCCATGAAATCCCTTCATAAGCACATAGACAGCTCACAGCTGCCTCTAGAGCTGGATGGGACCTTTCCTTATTGCCACCGGGACTGGTTAATCTTCCGCATGGTGAGTGGGCTGTCTGGTATTCCTTGTGAGAGAAGAAATGGTATGGTAAGGGACTCGAAGTAAGAGGGTCCTGTCAACAGCTGAACATAGAGGCATTAAAAGACAATGGCTTCTGTAACAGCTAATTATGCAAATGAATCTGTCAAAAGAACACTAATACTGTCAACATAACAACTGTGGCCTGCTGTTATGACTGTAGGAGCTAAAGTTTTAGTTTTTAACTCACCTTCTTGAACTGCATTGATTCTTCCTTCCCTTCAAAATAGGGTCAAATCTGAAACAGAATCCAGTTTTGTGTGATATACAGTAGAAGTTCTCTTCAGTCATGCTTGGAAGTTTAAGGACAGACACTTTTTAAGCTAATCTCAGGAGAAGGTGGTAGTATCATTTTGCCATTGAACTAAAAATCAAGAACTTGAGCTTAATAAAAATAGTTACCTCTTAATTGGGTTTGGAGCAAGTTCCCAGACCAATCTAAGAGCTCCTGAGTGAAAGCTGCAGTCTTTGCAGGAGTGAAACTTGGAAGCTCCTCATAATCAGTTCAGATTTCTAGGAGCATCTTCTTCCTCCTTTAGATGTAACTGACTTATTTACCAAAGTTGTCATCAAGACCTCTTTAGAAAGCATCTAAACTAAAAATACAGAGAAGGCTCACCTGGGGGGAACATTTTGTTGCTCTTTGAGAGCTAGCTGTGTGAGGTGAGGAAACAAAAGCTTCCCCATGCAGATTCTAGTCAGTGAGTCTTAGGAGCAAGGTAGTAGAGTGGAAGACAGTACCAGAAGTACGTTCCTTCTCCCTGTGGTTTGGCTGCTTTGAGTATTCCTCAGTACCATGATCTTGTTTGACCTTTGTGCTCTTCTCCAGGAGAGTTGTGGATCAAGATACCTACAGTGAACTGTGCTCTGGTGTGGATTAGAGCCAGCCCAGGGTCCAGGGAGGCTGACCACTCCCTGGAAATGTTTGAGCTGGTCCAGGTTAAGCCTCAGAGAGAGAAGGGCTGAAACTGCAGCAGCCAGATGCAGTATCTAAATATGGCACCCCAGCAAAGGGTGCTGCAGCCAGCAGTGCAGCGCACACTGATGAACTGTGGCAGGACTGGAGGCATTACTGGCCATGCAGCACGGTATGTGCAGACTGCCAGGAGTCTGCAAAAGTGTCATTTGTGGCACCAATTTCTGTACACTCATGGTGTGGAGGGAGCACAAGTCCCATGGATCATGTGCTTGTTGAATCTTCCAAAGCTGTATTGAGAGATACTTGGCAAACTGAGAATAGACAGGATTAAATCTCTGCAAATCTGCACTTACATTGGCTGTCTTCATGTGTAGTTTGACTTTCTCATCCTGGTAGGTGAAGAGACATCACCTTTGCTTCCAAAAGGCTCAGTTATTTTTGACTCTGGCCTCACTGCTCTAAGGGCTGCATAGCACGCTGCAGCATTTGAAGCAGGTTATGGGATCACCAAGAGCACCACTGTGTCACTGCTAGCAAGCTGCAGGAGTTAGGCTTAGCACGTGCCAGGTGTTAACTTATCTTTTCAACTTATTTTAGAACCCATTTTTTAAGCTTGCATCTTAAAGTACTAATAAGAACCTGAGCTGTGCACTAATGGTACAGAAGCCTGATCTTGGTGCCTGGGATTGAATTTGAAGTTTATTTGGCAGTAAGAAAACAGAGAAGCTTTGCAAAAGGTTATGGACTAGTTTTCTGGACAGAGTTGAGGGGAAAAACTTGAGAGGTTTGTTTTGCAAGTTTTTGCACAAACTTGCTTTGTTTGTGCAGAAGGAAGGAGCATGATATCAGACTACTTCATGTTTGTATCTTACATTTTAACATGCAAAACGTTACCAAAGGGAGTTAGTGTAGGAATCAGTATGTATGGGTTGCCTATTTATAGGATGGTGTGATGTGATAATGACCAACATATTCAACCCCTTTAGCTATGTGGCAAAGTGTTTATTTCCTGTCTGGATGATCTCACCTGCATCCTGCCTGCTAATCTGTCACTGCTGGAGTTGTTCCAGCACTCTGGGGAGGAGGGAGTTCAGCTCAGGAAGAGTCAAACAGCTGGTTTTTTTCGTTTGTTTTGAGCACTGTTGTTTTGGAATATCTGATTTCAGTAGCTGGAGGGTGGCATCTGACAAGATATAGGCTTTATATCACTGACTTTTCTAAAAAGTACTGCCTTGTGAACCATGTAAAATGTTTGGAGTGTTTCCCCCACCCCCACTCCCAAAATGAGGAGGGATTTCAGATTTTTCAGTAGGTTAAAATGCTTAATTTTGGAAGATTTCCAGTTTCCTGATCTTTCATTTGCATTACTTTTGACATGAAATGATTTAAGGTAGAGAAATTCCAAGTACTCATTCTGTGTTTTGTTCCTCCAAAATTCATACATAATGAATCATCTTAGTGGGAAGTTACAAGAAAGAATGTGGGTGTTACAAGTGGAATGTGGGAAAAGCAGTGGACTGCTTTTTCCTTTTCCTTTTCCAAAGCATGACCCATAGCAGCCATGAGTATGTAGGTTTGTAATGTCTGCATCGAGGCCTTGCTGGGCACTCTTGCAGACATAGCATGGTGCATCTGAAGCCTCTGATGGGCCTCTCTGCTGATACAGAGAGGTATAGTTGAAGCCTTTGGTTAATGTGTTTGATCCTCTCTTGATTTCTGTACTTCTAACCTTCTGCAAGCTGAAAAGACAGCTTTCCTGTCAGCTATGAAACAATACTCTCTGCCTTGGTCCTTTCTTCTTGTAGAAGCTGGAACACTTGCTACATGGATGCCAAGGTGCTTGTGCCTTCCTCCAGGGAGCTATTCATAAAGTGGAAACTGGAAAATTGCCCGGAAGAGCTGAGGTAAACATGTCCCTCACTTTGTATCAGAGAGACAGACAGCAGGTCGATGGGTAGCTGCAGAAGAGTTGTAGGTTTTAATTTACAGCCTGTAGTAGCAGAGTGTTCCAAGTACTGTGTGTCACTGTGGAGCTGGCGGGATAGCAGGACTAGTAGAAGCTAACCCAGATGAAGTGACAGAGGCTTTGCTATGTGTAGAAGCTGGCTCTTTGATCCCTCAGCATCACCCAGAAGATCCTTTCAGCTGTACTTGTTGCTGACGATGCTTGCTCCAGTATTGGAGCACATTCTAGCAGCTCCACAGCTCTGAGGCTGGTACTAGCTTTGGTGTCTCTAGTGCTGAGCAGCTGCCTTGGACTGTGCAACAGGAGGTTGGCTTGAATGGCCTGGAATAAATTTAGGTGACAATATAGACAGTGTTCGCCAGGCCAAGGCTGTGCTGTGCTTCCATTTTTGGGGCCTTTAGAGCAGAAGTTTGGAAGTGGGCACGAAAAGGAAGGTACAAAGACCAAGCCTGTGTTGTTGCAAACACTGTATTTCCTAACTCTTGGGAAGCTGCTGTACTACTTACATAGTAAGAAATGCTGCCAACTCTGCACTGAGGGTCCCAGTAGTTAAAGCATTGGCTTCTCTGGGCCTTCAGGTATCTGTGTGTATATCACGAACCTTTCATGTGCACCTTTCCCACAGCCTGGAGCCATGCAGAGCCAGGCTCTTAAGACCAGTAGGAGCCAGCTGTGAGTGGAAGATGAGGCTGGAAAGCTTGTTCTTTCCATGCCTTGCAAATGGAGCACGGGCAATGGTAGGAATCAGGTTTTCATTTTAGCCTGGTGGGGAAAGTATCTAGAGTATAAGGAATGCTGTTTATCATTTTGGGCTTGGCAGCCTTGACAGAAACAGCTGTGGGAACCAACCTTCCTCTTCCCTTGGGTGAGCCAAGGTGAGATGTGGTTTATGTGTGGTTTTGGTTGGGTGATATTTTTTGCCTGTTACCTCATTGCCTGTAGTTGCAGTAACTGCTTATCTTGATCTTGCCATCCCTGCAGGAGGCAGCTGTGCTGCTGAGGAATTACAGGCAGCTGATGAAGAATGTTCTTGAAGATGCACGGCTGGTCAAGCTGCAGCTGGAGGGGGGAGCACTCCTGGCCAGACTGCGGAAGGAGGAATCTTGTGTCACCCTCACCCACGACTACAGGTGAGCCCCAAGAGTGGGAGAAGAGGTGGAGATGAGCAAACAGCAGGCTTGAGAGTGAGATGATCCATCCCTGGTGCAGGCGAGAGAGCAGCTTCGTGTAGTGAGGACTTGTGTTGAAAACAGCAAAAGTGAAAAGTGTAATGACTTTTACTCTTTTTCTGACTTCTTCCCCAGTCTAAAAACTTGTCTGGGTGGATTCATTTAGATGGTTAAAGCTTTTTTTCCAAACCAAATCAGCGAAGAGAGAGATGGATATTTTGTGCACCTCTGAAACACAAGTCTTAATTGTTGATGCCAGTGATAAATGTTTAGGTCCAGGCTATCATTTTCCAAGGACCTGAACTGCGAGGAATGCTTTCTGGCTGAAGCAAACTCAGTTCTCCTCACACCCTCGTACAGTTTGCACAACCAAATATTCACTGCCCACTTGCAAAATTGGTATGAAAAGCAGGGCCTGAGAAAGACCAGCTGTTTGAAATCCCCAGGGCATTGCACAACTCCTGTTTGTACAGTTAAAGCACCTGAAGCCTATCAGCATGTGAAGGCTTCTGTGCTATGTGCTGTGCAAACAGCTGGCATGTGGGTGCAGACGAGGGCTCAGTGGGTGGCAGGGCTGCCTTGCTCTGATTCATCTCTCTGTTGCTGTCACAAGCTGGGAGGTTTTAAGGGAGGGAGTAGAAAGGAGATAATAAAATAGCTTAGAGAGTATCTCACACGAACAAAGAAGAACATTTCTCTTTGAAAAGTCATCAAGTGGATGACAGTGCGAGTTGCTACCCCCCACTGGGAGGCTGGGGTCGGCGCTGAGTGAGAGGGAAGCCTGGGGACAGGTCTTGTAACTTTCTTCTCCCTGCTTCCTGTGAGTCCTGTCAGCAGCTCTTGCAGCTTGGTTTTAAGCTTGGCGTGTATTCTTGCACAGAGAGGTGATCAACTTTGAAACCTGATCTGACAGAGCCCCTAAGGATAATCTATTGCTTTGATTAGTTTAGCAAGGGCAGGGGCGGGGGATATGCATAATTCTCTGTTTGCACAGTGTGTGGGTGTATGCTGAGGCTGTATAACATGTTCTCTGTTTAATTTGGGTTACATTTGTTGCCTGCCAGTATGAATGGAGAGCATACGTTGTGGGTCTTTCGGTCTGAGGAGTGCAGATGAAGACAGTGGGAGAAAGATCTCTTCTAGCCTGTGGAGTAGTTGCAGAAACTAAAATCCATGCAGTATTTTAACTGAGGAAGTGCCTGCTTGTCATGTAACTTGGATCAGAGGACTAAAATCTTTGTTCCAGGATCCTTTCAAATGGGAAAAAACCCCCATCACTTGACCAGAGAACTCTACATAAGGCGTTTTGGGGTTTAGATCATGGCTCTGCACTTGCTCCATCTTTCCAAACTGGTGTGCAGATATTAAAGGTTGAGAGCGCTGCTCACGCTGTAAATGCTCTGATGGTTATGATTTTCAAAGGCTTCTTTAACAGAGAGGGTCAAAGCAGGGTAGGGACAAAATATTGTAGTTGGCTTTCTAAGCTAGAATGGAGTGGCTCTTGGTGTATGTGTGTCCAGTATTAGATTTCTGACCAGTGACGTGTGAAAATGGAGGAGGGCTGGTTGTGTTTGTGCTCTCAGCATTGCCTGTTGTACTGGATTGGATTCCACATCTATTCCCCTAACACTTGAAATGAAATTATTTACAAAAGCAAGTCAAATGGCTTTATCCGTCTGAGCTACCTCTCGGGTTCTAATGTTAATCATGTGTTACATTGGCTTAGTTTTTTCTTTTCTCTTGTGGTGCAAAAGCCTGATCAAGCAGAGTCATGACTGCCAAGACTTCTTAGTCAGAAGCTGAGCCAGCTGTGAACAGATATCTGTCCAAATGTGCAAAAATTTTGTAGAAATAGAGGAAGGGAGCAGTTTCCTGGACTCTTAGTTCCACTTAATTAAAATGTTCCAATGAAAAGTGCAGAACTAAAGGTATAAACTGTGGTTTTTTTAATTTTTGTTTATTTTTTCTAAGAGGCGTAAAAAAGACAAGCCCGGCTGCACCATCACCTTGGGATTAAAAAAGCAAGAGATTGATTTACCCCCTCTTTTTTTTTTTTTTTTTTTGGGGGGGGGATATGTTTTTCCAGCTCTGACAGCTGAGTTTCTTGCTAGTTTGTGACTTTATGTGGCAAAAAGAATAGCAGCAGGTGGTAAGAACAGAGATGGGTGAACCTGTCTGAAAGGCCTGACTGCAGGTTAGGGAGCGTATGCCAAAATAGGCCAGGAAGCAGCGTTGTGCTCTGTGCAGACAGATGATATCAGCCGGATACCTATCGAGAGCACAGAGCAAACAAGACTTGCTTTAATCTTTCTTTAGTCATGGAACTCTTCCCTTGGGATTGATTTTTGGCACATTTCCCTGCTGTGCCCTCCTGGAGAGCTGAGATGCCCTTTGGAGTGTTGCATGACACAGAGCAGTAGGATCTCACTGCTGCTCAGGCCTGACCTGGGCTTTGCAAGGGTTTGCTAAGCCAGTGACACAGCTCCTTTCCTGCAGAAATCGAACTCATCCCATCGGAGATGGCTCATGCAGGAGAGATGCACTGTGGTGCATCCACATGTTTCTGACAGATGCTTTCAGAGCCTCTAGGAGTCATTCCTGGATGGTCCCATCCCGAGAGATGTTTCTGACCCGTAACTTTACTTGCTCTGTTTCCAGTGTGAGCTGACCAGGAGTCTCCGTACTCCTTTCTCCACCAAGTACCACTGTAAAAGATAGCCCTGCCCATCCAGGTGCTTATCCACAAAGGGGAAAAAAAGATTTCTCCAAGCAGTCTTTCTGGGTTTTTCCCTTTTTCTGGCTTAGAAAGAGGAGCTACGTTACAGAATACCCATCGTGCAGGCAGCCCACCGCCGGGAGCAGGCTGAGCAGATGTGGTGTGCTTGGCTGGTCCCACAGTGCTTTTCCACCTCCAGGAAGACATGGCTGAATTTGACCTACAGTTGGCCTGGGTGTGGTACTGGTGAGCCAGTATCTTTGTGGCACCTCTTTCAGTGCATAGTGTGGCCACCCAGAGGTGCTGGTGGACTGCTGAGGGTGGCAATGCCACTGATTTACTGTGGTGAAGCTGGCTGGCTTCAGAGCCACCATATCTCCCTTCACACCAACGGCAGCACTGGAGGCTGAGTACTTCTCCAGGTCTGTTAGCTGAAAGCTTCCAGGTTTTGCTCTCCCAGTCTTCCAGGGATTGAAATGCCAGAACTATTAGCCTAGCTGAAGTTCCTCTAGGTAAGAATGGACAAATGCCACAGAGACATCCATCACTTTAATGCTATTAATACTTATTTTTACACTTTTGGACAGGAATTTTTTAATAAACAGTCTTTTTAATTAGTTACATAAAATTGGCTAGCAGGTGTATCCTTGGTGTCAGGATATCTAGTGTATTGATCAACCAACCTGTGGCTTACAGGCCACTCGACTCACTAAGTCAGTGCTGGAAAGTGGGTTAATGCATTGTTTATTTTGTGATGTAATTTGAAGGCTTCTCCAGCCTTATGATAGATATGTCAGAGGAGCTGCCAGAAGTCGGGCAGCAGCAGTGGGAGCTCTTGCTGAAGTGTGGCTGGGCAGCTAGTCAGGGAGACTTTTAACCTGGTCTTTAGCCAGACATTTTCCACTGTTCTCATTATTGCTGCTTTTCCAGCATAGCCAAGAGCTGGGAATGCTTGCCTAGACAAAGTGTCCAGTGATGCCTTTTGTCCTGTGGATATGCAGTGAGTCAGAAGTGGAGCAAAGAAAATCTAAACATCTTCTGTTAATATAATGGTGCTTTATACTGGTTGAACCAGAGTACACCTGCCATGTGCCTGGCCCCACCAACAAACCTGGCTTCTCAAGTGTGGCACGGGAGTGGGATTGCATCATGCTCTGCATGTCCGTAGAATCATGGAGTCACAGAGTGGTTTGGGTTGGAAGAGACCTTAAAGCTCATCCAGTTCCAGCTCCCTACCATGGGCACAGACATATTCCACTAGAGCAGGTGCTCCAAGCCCCATCCAACCTGATCTTGAACACTGTCAGGGATGGGGCAGCCACAGCTTCTCTGGGCAACCTGTGCCAGGGCCTCAGCACCTGCACAGGGAAGAACTTCTTCCCAAGATCTCATTTCAGTCTCCCCTCTGTCAGGTTAAAGCCATTGCCCTTTGTTCTGTCCCTACAGGTCACTGTCCAAAGCCCCTCTCCAGGTTTCTTGTAGCCCCTTTAGGGACTGGAGCTGCTCTAATGTCTCCCAGTGCCTTCTTTTCTCCAGGCTGAACCAGCCCAGCTCTCTCAGCCTGTCTCCATAGCAGCGCTGCTCCAGCCGTTGCAACATCTCTGTGGCCTCCTCTGGACTCACTCCAACAGCTCCACTTCCCTCCTGTGCTGTTGCCCCAGAGCTGGATGCAGGACTGCAGAGGGGTGTGTCAGGAAAGCAGAGTAAAGGGGTGGACTCCCCTTCATGATGCAGCCCAGGATGCAGTTGGTTTCTGGGCTGCAAGTGTACACTGCTGGGTCATGTTGAGCTTCTTACCAGTCAACACTTACCTTAGTGATCAAGACAGCCACAACATTTCGTGTGAGAGCTGGAAGAAAGAGAAAAAACTCAAATGGTGAAGGAATAACCAGGCTGGGTGCTGGCTCTGTGCAGTATGGAACCAGAAAATGTATAGTCTTATCTCTCCAAGCTCCTCATCGGAAAAGAATCTCTGTGTGTGAGCTGTGAATAAGCAGCTTATAAATAGATGGAGGAGTGAATTCTCCTTTTGTTTGCAAAAGACAGCAGAGTTAGTCTCTGTACTTGGAGGGAGGAGAGGCCAGAGTCAAGAGCTGTTTTTGTGAGCTGGCTATTTTTAGTGTGCCTCAGTGATCTGGTTGGAAGCTCTGGGTGGGGACCTGAGCCAGAGGCAATAGGCAGTGTGGAGCTGGCTTCCTGAGCAACACCTCCCAGGTTCCTGATGCTGGACCTGACTCAGTTGCAG